ACCACATCTCAGAGATATAGACAGATGTTTGGGTCTAATCAATGGTTCTAACCAACGACTTTATCCAACGGCCGAAACGTTGTGAATATGGCAATGACGATGAGGATAACAGTTCGAATAATGTAAATAATTCAAGTAATCATTATGCCTCATCCCAGAGATGTAGAGGCCGAAAAGTTGTGAATATTGCAATGAAGATGAGGATAACAGTTCGAATAATGTAAATAATGCAAGTAATCATAATACCTCATCTCAGAGATATAGAGGCCGAAACGTTATGAATATGGCAATGTAGATGAGGATAACAGTTCTAATAATGTAAATAATGCAAGTAATCATAATACCTCATCTCAGAGATATAGAGGCCGAAACGTTATGAATATGGCAATGTAGATGAGGATAACAGTTCTAATAATGTAAATAATGCAAGTAATCATAATACCTCATCTCAGAGATATAGAGGCCGAAACGTTGTGAATATGGCAATGAAGATGAGGATAACAGTCCGAATAATGTAAATAATGTAAATAATAATAATATTTCATCTGAGAGATAGACAGATTATGTGTATTGTGTTTTCTTCTATGAGTGCAGGAAGCAGCCTATTTCTTTCAGGTTACCTATTTTTAGAGAAAAAGATACATTTTTGAAAAGTATAGTAAAATTTTACTACACATTATAGTATTTATTGCGCGTTTTGTTGCATTTTTTTCCATGATACACAGTGAACAATTGATCATAAGAGATACAATGAGATGCAGTTTCTACTTTCTACTTTCTATATAATATGCATATCCAATTTGGACACTGCTTAGCACTATGTCTTGTCTTCGATCACTTAAACGTTGTTTATTTTCCAGTTTAACTGTCTACTGATGTTCGTTGTTTTGGAAACATATCCCAAACTGCGTGGTAACGTACTTAAGAGGAAAATTAAAACAAAACTTTTACATTTCTAATTAATAATGAGAGTTGAAGTCTAAAAATCCAAACCACCAGTGATGAGCGAAATTTCTTGAAAATGAGCTTACAATTTGCATTTAGATATCTTTTCATGTGATCAGTGCCCCGAAACAATGGTTGGTTGGTTCGTTTTTGTTAAGCATGCATGGACCATTCGATACTGAAATCCAAAACTTTGTGGCTTCAGCTATAGATGTTTTTTGTGCAATTTTATACTTTCAGGATAATATATATATATATATATATATATATATATATATATATATATATATATATATATATATATATATATAGTTTATAGATAATAAGATGTATTGTACTCTCTTCTATTAGTGCTGGAACAGCTTATTTCTTTCAGGTAGTGTATTATTTGAGAAATAGATACATTTTTGAAAAGCATGGTAAGGTTTTTTATATCACAGTATTTGTTGCGCGTTTTTTAAAATTCTTTGCAGTCTATTAGGATGCATTTAACAATGAGCAATCGAGCATAAGAGATACAACGAGATGCAGTTTCTACTTTGAGTAAGTATTTGTGTATAAGATATATATGTCCAATTTAGACTCTGCTGAGCAGTATGTCTTTTCTTCGATCACTTAATAGTTCTATATTTTCCAGTTTGGGAGTCGATTGATGTTCGTATAGTTAGTTGTTTTGGAAACATATCCTAAATTGTTTAGTAACGTACTTAAGAGAAACATTAAAACAAAACATTTACATTTCTAATTAAAAATGAAAGTTGAAATGCTAAAATCCGGACTAGCAGTGATGAGCCAAAACGAGTTTACATTTTGCATTTAACCCATTTAGACAATTTTTCGGGTGATTTTCAGTGGCACGAATGCATTTATCTCAAATGCATTTACCACAAACACGTGAATAGAGGTCTACATTGATTCTTGATGACTACAAGGAAAGTTTTGTCGAAAACATAATTCCACGTCCTTTATCAGTCAAGCCAATTAGGTAACCGTCCAAGCTTATTTGCGTCTAGGCGTTGCATTTCATTCGTATATGTATTTTTTCAAGGCATTTTTTAGAAGAAAAAATGCGTCTTGTTAGCCGAAAAATAAGGTAGTTTATAGATAATAAGATGTACTGTACTCTATTCTATTAGTGCTGGAACAGTTTATTTCTTTCAGGTAGCCTATTATTTGAGAAACATATACATTTTTGAAAAGCATGGTAAGGTTTTGTATATCAGCGTATTTCTTGTGCGTTTTTTTTTTTGCAGTTTATTAGGATGCATTTAACAGTGAGCGATAGAGCACAAGAAATACAACGAGATGTAGTTTCTACTTTGATTAAGCATTTGTGTATAAGATATGTATGCCCAACTATGTTTTCAGTAGAAGAGAGCGATTGAAAGGTAAAGAGATCTTGAGAGAGAGGCAGTGATTGTTTTGTCTTCGATCAGGCAATGGTTCTATATTTTCTAGACTGACTGGCATTCTCTGATGAAGCTTTAATAAAAGTGAAATATGTTAGATTGATAAACGTTTCCTATTTATTCTTTATTTTAACATTTAATATTTTGTAAAAGTTAAACCGAATCATACAAAACGTAATTGTCCCTATTACTTAAGAAATGAGTGGTTTTTTTCAATAAGCGCACCGACACGTCATATAAAACAGCGCTCCTAAATGTCAGGTTTCTACAGGAGCGCCCTGGGAACTTATTCGAGGGATGCAGATATAAAAAAAAGGGGGCTGTGGAGAAACATAATCACTTGACCCTGAAGTGACATGGCACTTAAATGGGATATATATATATATATATATATATATATATATATACAATATAAAAAATATATACCGTAAAAACACAACACACACACACACACACACACACACACACACACACATATATATATATATATATATATATATATATATATATATATATATATATATTCATTCAGATCCCTTACCTCTAGGATCTCGTCGCACGGCAGGGAAGGGAGGAAATTTTAACGTTTTTCTTTATACGAAATACGCCAGTCGCTCATAGAACTCAATTCAATTTTAATTGAAGAGTATCGCTTATATATATATATATATATATATATATATATATATAAAAACCTAGTGAGCCAGACAAACAACCTACCTAGGTTTCACCTAAACGGATCGTCAGGGAAAGCTTTTTTGTTAGTTAGTTGTTTACTCGTATCGGTTTTTTTTTGATGGACTTCAAACCTGTATCTGTGCGATTTTTTTCGACAGACTTTCATGTTTCTCGCTCTTTCTTTTTTTAAAACCTTTTTTCACCTCGGGATTGATTTGATTATTGGCAAATCAAAAATTCGAGGGTTTTTCGAAACGAGTATAGTTATCTATATTTGTATATATATATATATATATATATATATATATATATATATATATATATATATTATTTCAAATGAGCTGATTACATAGGTTTTCGAAAAGAACGAAAACAAGACCTAAAAATGAAATCTGTACGCATATATATATATATATATATATATATATATATATATATATATATATATATATATGCGTAAGGTTTTCGAAAAAGAAGGAAACGAAAGAACGAAAACAATGCGTAGAGATTTCATTTTTAGGTCGTTTTTGTTTTTTTCGAAAACCTTGCGCTTTTTGGTAGGGGCGGAGGAGCTATCAACAGCATTCTATGTAGTCAGCCCATTTGAAATAACAAAACCTCTGTTCTGTATCCAGCTTCGCTTCCTCTCTCCATTTTGTACAGATTTTGATACGTGGCACATGTCGGTCTTGAGAGACTATAGGTCTACGCCCAAAGAGTTATGCCTCAGCTGTTGCAAGATGGGATTATTATTTTTTATTTGCAACTTTCTTTCTCTCTCTCTCTCTCTCTCTCTCTCACTATATATATATATATATATATATATATATATATATATACACACAGTTTATTTCACAGTTCATCAGTGTGGTTAGACATCCGATTGCTGCAAACCGGGACCGAAACTCGACCGATTTGCCATCAATCAGAGACTCTACACCTACGCTATCGACGCATGACAGAGCAAGGCAATCTTTTAATGTATTATATATCATGTATATAAATGCTAACCAAGCAGCCAGAGTGCTCAATTCTGACAAAGAGCGATGCGTTAAGCAGCAGTAAAAAAAAAAACCCTTTCTCCACAGTACTCAATCGGCTAATGGGAGCATAGTCACCCACAGTCTGTTTAGCTGCATCACAGCTCATCAGTGATTAAGTTCTTTTAGTTTTACTCGAAGATGATCTCAGATAAGACTGAAAATACTTGGGAAAATAATTGATTGCTTCAAGCCGGGATCGAAACTCGACCGATTTGGCATCAGTCAGAGACTCTACCCCCTAAGCTATCGGCTCATGGCAGGGTAAGGTAATATTTTAACGTATTATATACTTGATGTATATAAACGTTAGACCAGCAGCCAGAGTGCTCAATTCTGACAAAGAGCGACGCGTTAAACAGCAGTAGCAGCAGTTATCATTATTGTATGTATCATGTCGAACTAAAGATCATTCTCTTTCAAAATAAGATTATTACATTTTCTTTTCTTCAACCGTTTCTTGCTGTATCTGTCTCTGTCTATGTTTTGACCTAAGTGTCTCTCTCTTTCTCTAGTAATAAAAATATCTCACTTGAACTAACAATATCTATTTTGTTTCATTCAGTTTTTTTCTTATAAAAACTCACTCTCTATAAAAATCTCCCTCTCTCTCTCTCTCTCTCTCTCTGACTCAAACTAAGAATATTACAACTTTCTTTCTCGAGTTCTTATCGGTTTCAACCTCTCTCTCCTTCTTTTTCACTATCTTTCTACCCTTCAATCCTCTGCCTCTCTCTCTCCCTCCCCTCCCTCCCCTATATATATATACATATATATATATATATATATATATATATATATATATATATATATATATATATATAAACTGTAGTTTTGTCACTCTCAACCTTTCCTTCTCACTCTCTTACGATCTCTCGTTCTCTCTCTGTACCTTAAATTACAAATATTTTATTTCTGTTTTTCCAAGCATTTCTCTCTCTCTCTCTCTCTACCTTTCAATCACAGACTCTTTCTTTCAATATCTCTCTTCCTCTCCTTTTCAATATGTCTACCTTTCAACAACTCTCTCTGTCTTTCGATATCACTCTAGATTTCAATCACACTCTCTCACTCTCTCTCTTTCAGTATGTCTGTAACTTTCAATCACACAATCTCTCTTTTATATGTCTCTACCTTTCAATCAAACTTTCTCCCTTTCTCTTTCAATATCTCTCTCCCTTTAAATCTCTCTCTCTCTCTTTTAATATCTCTCTGTCTCTCAGTCAGCATCTGTTTCAATATCTACATGTATATATTTAAGAGCTATGTCACTTCAGGAATTAAGTGATTATGTTTCTCTACAGATTTCTGTATACCTCGAATAAGCGCCCAGGGCGCTTCTGTAGAAATGTGGCGTTCAGGAGCGCTGTTTTATATGACGTGTAGGTGAGCTTATTAAAAAAAAACCCCAAAAACCACTCATTTCTAAAGCAAACAATTGATTCGGTTTAACTTTTACAAAATATTAAATGATAAAATAAAGAATAAATAGGAAACGTTTATAAATCTAACATGTTTCACTTTTATTACAGCTTCATCAGAGAATGCCAGTCAGTCTAGAAAATATAGAACCATTGCCTGATCGAAGACAAAACAATCACTGCCTCTCTCTCTCAAGATCTCTCTACCTTTCAATCACTCTCTTTTATCTATTTCAATCACTCTCTCACTCCCATTGAATATCTCGCTATCTTTCAATCACACTCTCTCTCTTTCAATATATCTCTATCTTTCAATCAACCTCCTTCTCTCTTTCAATCTCTCTACCTTTCTATCACTCTCCCTCTCTCTTTCGATGTCTCTCTTTCATCTCTTTCAATCACTCTCTACCTTTCAATCATTTCCCTCTCTCGATATCCCTCTGCCTTTCACTCACTTTCCCTCTCTCTCAATATAAATCTCTACCCCACAATCAACCTCCTCTCTTGAATATCTCTTTCCCTCTCTCTTTCGATATCTCTCTACCTTTATCTTTCAATCACAATCAACTCCTCTCTCTCTACCTTTCTTTTTCTCTCTTTCCCTCTCTCTTTACTCTCTCTACCTTTCCTCCTCTCTCTCTCTCTTTCTCTCTACCCCACAATCAACCTCCTCTCTTTTAATATCTCTCTACCTTTCAATCTCTTTCCCTCTCTCTTTCGATCTTTCTCCCCTCTCCCCTCTCTCTTTCAGTATCTCTTCAATCAATCATCTCTCTCTTTCCTCTCTCTTTCAGTATCTCTCTACCCCACAATCAACCTCCTCCTCTCTTTCAATATCTCTCTACCTTTCAATCTCTTTCCCTCTCTCTTTCGATATCCCTCTACCTTTCACTCACTTTCCCTCTCTCTTTCAGTATCTCTCTCAACCTCCTCCTCTCTTTAATATCTCTCTACCTTTCAATCTCTTTCCCTCTCTCTTTCGATATCTCTACCTTTCACTCCTTCCCCTCTCTTTCAGTATCTCTCTACCCCACAATCAACCTCCTCCTCTCTTTTAATATCTCTCTACCTTTCAATCTCTTTCCCTCTCTCTTTCGATATCTCTCTACCTTTCACTCACTCTCCCTCTCTCTTTCAGTATCTCTCTACCCCACAATCAACCTCCTCCTCTCTTTTAATATCTCTCTACCTTTCAATCTCTCTCTTTCGATATCTCTCTACCTTTCACTCACTCTCCCTCTCTCTTTCAGTATCTCTCTACCCCACAATCAACCTCCTCCTCTCTTTAATATCTCTCTACCTTTCAATCTCTTTCCCTCTCTCTTTCGATATCTCTCTACCTTTCACTCACTCTCCCTCTCTCTTTCAGTATCTCTCTACCCCACAATCAACCTCCTCCTCTCTTTCAATATCTCTCTACCTTTCAATCTCTTTCCCTCTCTCTTTCGATATCTCTACCTTTCACTCCTCCCTCTCTCTTTCAGTATCTCTACCCCTCAATCAACCTCCTTTCTCTTTAATCTCTCTACCTTTCAATCTCTTTCCCTCTTTTTCGATATCTCTACCTTTCTCCCTCTCCTCCTCTCTCACAATCTCTCTTTTTCTTTTTCTCTCTTTCTCCTCCTCTCTCCCTCTCTTTAGTATCTCTCTACCTCAATACCTCCTCTCTCCGATATCTCTCTACCTTTCAACCTTTCCCTCTCCTCCTCTCTCTTTCTCTCTATCTCTCTCTTTATCTCTCCTTTCAAATCTCTACCTTTCCCTCTCCCTCTTTCTCTTCAATATCTCTCTACCTTTCAATCTCCTCCTCTCTTTTAATATCTCTCTACCTTTCTCTCTTTCCCTCTCTTTTCGATATCTCTCTACCTTTCCTCAACTCTCCTCTCTCTTAATATCTCTCTCTCAACCCTCTTTCAATCAACCTCCTCCCTCTTTCTTTCTTTATCTCTCCTTTCAATCTCTTTCCCTCTCTCTTTCGATATCTCTCTACCTTTCCTCTCTCCCTCTTTCACCCCACAATCAACCTCCTCCTCTCTTTTAATATCTCTCTACCTTTCAATCTCTTTCCCTCTCTCTTTCGATATCTCTCTACCTTTCACTCTCTCTCTCTCTCTCTTTCAGTATCTCTCTACCCCACAATCAACCTCCTCCTCTCTTTCAATATCTCTCTACCTTTCTCTTTCCCTCTCCTTTCGATATCTCTCTATCAACTCTCAGTATCTTCTACCCCCACAATGTTACCTCCTCCTCTCTTTAGTATCTCTCCTTTCAACTCTTTCTCTTCTCTCTACCTTTCTTTTTTTCCCTCTCTGTAGTATCTCTCTTTCTCTCTCTGTTTTTTTAAATTATAAAACCTTTCCTCCTCTCTATCTATAAATTATTTCTGTTTTCAATATCTCTCTACCTTTCTCTCTCTCTCTACCTCTATCTCTCTCTACCCCTCTATCTCTCTCTTTCAATCTTTCGTTCTCTCTTTCTCTCTGCTTTAAAGTACATATGTATAATTTTCGTTTTTTCCTAACATTTTATCACTCTTTTTCGCTTTCTTTTCTCTCTCTCATTTTTTCTCTCTCTTTCTCTCTTCTTAATCTTTCTACGTCAATTTCTCGTTCCCCCTCTTCGTCTCTAATTTGGATGATTTCATTTTTTACGGTTTTACCCCTAAGCGTTCTCTCTTTCTCTCTTTTTTAGTACATATGTATAATTTTCGTTTTTCCTAACACACACTCACACACACACACACACACACACACACACACACACACATATATATATATATATATATATATATATATATATATATATATATATATATATATATATATATATATAGCTGGCCTCACGTATTCCAGGATACCTGTCTACTAGGGCGGCTAAGCAATCCCTATTGCATACTCTTGCTCAGGCACATTTGTGTTTTTTTCAGAACCTACAGAGATCTCCAATGGTCTATACTGCAACTATGCTCAGCAGACCTTAGTCACAGTTTCTGGGAAAGAGCTAGTTATCTAGCGAGATCAACAATTTGAACAAGGCCAGCACGCTCAAGCCATCGGCCACAATGACTTGTGATTCCGTGCTAGGACAGATATCAACGGCCACAAAGGGTTCCGTCTACCCAATTTCACTCACGAGGCTTCGGTCAACACGTGGTATGGTTTCAGGCACTTACCAAAGATATATATATATATATATATATATATATATATATTTGGTTGGATAGATGTCTCGTTAATGTCTCGTGAATGTATACATGTCATATTATGTAGTTTTCCGCTGAATAATATATCCTCGCATGTATGTATATGCGTGTGGTGGGGTTTGTGTAAAATTATGATAGGTAAAAATTATTATTATTTATATTTATTTTTAAATTTTTGAATTAACGAGACATTTCCGCCACACTTCTAATGTTTAAATTTCAACATTTCAACATACAAATGTGTATGTATAGACATAACACCACCCATATACATACATATGTCATATCCGAAACTGCCCACATATGTTTATATATGTATGAGTCCCGACGGACGACCAAGTATGTATATGTGTCTGCATACATCGATGTTTGCGTTAGTACGATGACATAAGCGACGAAATTTCCCCCACCACTTCCACAATAACACCAATACCCGCAATCTACATAAACCCAAATTTATATATATATATATATATATATATATATATATATATATATATATATATTCAGAGCAGCATTCTGTTTCACCAACTCAAGGACTGACCAAAATTCATGTTAGAAAAATTAAAAATTAAAAAACAAAACAAATGAAAACTACAGACAAAAGTTCATTTTCTCCATCAAGACATTCATTTCTGTAGTTCACTGTTACCAACAAGCAGAAATTTTTTTCTCCTAGTTGGCCGAAACTAGTCGAAGAATCTAAATGGAATAAAAATAAAAACGAAAGAATATTAATATCCAACCCAGTGTGTCTGAAGATTTTAATTTTTTAATATTTTTATATTTGTTCAATATATATATATATATATATATATATATATATATATATATATATATATTTTATATCTTTCATTTTCTCCCTGCCTCAATCTACGAATCTTTCATTTTCGTTTCAGCAAGCATTTCTCTCAAACTCTATCTCTCTTTCTCCCTACATAAACCTAAGAATATTTCTCTTTCAACTTACTATCTCTTTCTCTCTTTCTCTCTTTCTCCTTCCAGAAAAACATTCTTTCCCTACTTGAATTAATGATTTTAGCCACCCGATATTTCCCTAGAGCGACTTTCCCCTTTCGACTTTAGCTTTTTTGCAGTTTCTTTTCCCGATACTTGGCTGACTTAGTCCATCACGTGCGACGCATGCGAAACAATGAATTCATGTATGCAAATGTCAACATATATGACATTATCCTTTATTCAGAAAATTGGTTTATTCATTTCTTTGCCAATTCTCAACTCGTCAGAGAAACCGTGCTGTTGATATGGAACTGTCACCTATTGATCATATATTACCCAAATCACAAGCACTGTTAGCAACAAAATCCGTTTAAAAGCATAAAGGGTTATTTTGTATATATTTAGAAAGCAATTCAGAGTTCATATGAAGAATCGCGAACTAAAAGACGTCGACGCATATGGTATATTACTCAAATCTCAAGGACGTAGTTTAGATCGTTTCGTTTTATGGCATATCAAACTCAATGGGTTATTTAATGCCGACAAGATTTTATTGCTTGTAATAATTTTTTTTCAAAAATGTATTGCTGCTACTGTATATGGGCAAGAGGTCGAGAGGTTAGAACGTTCACTTTCTGAGACCAGGTTTAGAATTTCACCAGGCTAGATTCGGCAGAATCGTTTGTTTTGTTTTGTTTTTGTTTTAAGGCATATGACCCTTAATGGTTTTTTTTCAATGCCGCCAATACTTTTATTGATGGTAATATTTTTTCCAAAAATGTATTGCTGGTAATATTTGCCCCCTAAATATGTATTGCTGGTAATATTTTTCTTTTTTAAAAAATGCACTGCTGGTAATAGTGTATTGCAGGGAATAATTTTTTCTTCAAACATGTCTTGCTGGTAATAATTATTCCAAAAACGTATTGTTGGTATTAAAGCCTATTTTTATAGTTTCATAGTGTTTTGACTCCTTTGGGGGAGTTAACTATCTGCCTATAGCTTGGACCCTGACAGGTGCTACCACCCCGAGTTAGGGTGAACTTGGGAACACCAACAATTAAGATGTGGATCTGCGCTCCTCAAAACCTACTGCCAAAAGCCTTGCTGCTGATGTAGTTTATCGACCTACTCATACGCGTATATAGTTTATCGTCTTACCCAGGACGCGGATGTAGTTTATCGTCTTACCCAGGACGCGGATGTAGTTTATCGTCTTACCCAGGAGGCTATCCATCACAGTTAGCACTAAAATCTGATTAAAAGCTTAGAGATTATTTTTATTTTTTTTATTTTATCGAGAAAGCATTTCAGAATTTATATGAAGAATTGCGAACTAAAAATAGTCGATGTACATAGTATATTTGCCATAATATTATCACTTATCAGAAAAGAAAAGAATAATTTAAACATAGCTTACCCATCGAATCAGATAAGAAAAAAAAATATAAACTAGGCAGTTCTTAAAAGATAAGTTTAATTGGAAACGGCTGGAAAATATTAGTTTCAAAATTAAGTTTATTAAGTTTAACCGAGTAATATTAATTATTAGTTTCATTAATGTTATATAGGAATAAAGTGTCGCTTCTGACACTTGGGTTTGAACATAGATCGCCAATGAACAAACACAGTCGATCCCATTATTGAATTAAGTAGATCACGTGACCATAGAGGAAACGCATATGTAGGCAGTCGCATGACGTCTAAATGATCAATTTCTCTATTCTATCCTCCATTACTATTTGGATCAGCATTTCTAGTCTATCCTCTATTACTATACGGACCGCTATTCTCTACTCTATTCACAATACTATTTTTCTATTCAGATCACTATACGGATTACGACACCAGTATTGTTCATCGGCGTTACTATAGTTGTAATCTGCGATTACAAAGTCTCTACTACAACGAGCATTACTAAAGTCACAACGAGTAAAAGAGGCAATAATATTAATAAAGTGGAGACTAATATTAATTAAAAACTCTTAAGATGTCGGCTTACTGCCATATCAAAGTTGGAATACCAATTCTCCATACGATCATCGAAGTTAAGCAACGTCGAGACTGGTCAGTATCTAGATGGGTGACTGCTTGAGAATATCAGGTTTTGTAAGGTTGGATGTGCAAGTGGTGTAATGAATAATGGTTTGGAATTGTTAATCGGAGAGCCGTGTTCCATTTTCAGCCGTGTTCGTTATATTCACTTCCGTGCAAATACACTTGGAAAAGGTATGAATCCACCTCTACTCCCCCCAGCTATGGGTTAATTAGTATGAATCGTATCACTAATACATTATTATTTCTAAAAATAAAATAGAAATTGCGTACAAAATATTTAGATTTCGGTATTAAAGAACCCATAGAGGTGTTGATAAGCCACTAAGCAAAAACAATTAACCAACCATGATCTCCCATCCATTTACATAAACATATTAGACACCTTACTCGCGGCTTTCCACTCTACTCTCTTGCCGTCAATATACTCTGTGTACCAAATTCTCTAAGCACTCTTTCCTCACTACATTCTCTAGAATTTGTACTTGTCTCTTTCATATTCTGCGTACAACTATCATTTTGTTTCCATTTCTCTTTAAATTTCCTCGTTGCTCACATGATATTCTCAGCATCCTTCTGCAGAGTCACATATCTGTTGGCTCAAACCTGCTCTTCATCTATGAGGAAATTGTCCAGCATCGGATGCTATATAGGAACATTTATATTATATATCAGGTAAGTCAACCAATTGTTTCCTTTTTCTTATTATTTTGCTTAGCTTCAGCAAAGGATCTTTCGCTGTTGCAATGTTGCAATGCGCCTTTGGTGTCACATTTCCGTCATCCGTTAAAACGCTTTCCAGATATGTAAATTTCTGTACTGGTTTCAATTCGAGGCTTACATCGTTTCTCTTGCTGACAACCGTGCCTTATGTCAATCTGCAAGGAACAATTTCGTGGAATGGACATACGAAGTTCTAACGTGTGCACTGGGTCATGTTTCATTAGACAAAATACGAAGTAAGTAATAACGGAATTATTCGTTTTGTTTCAATTAATTTGGACAAGGGTGTACAAGAAAACGGGGATACTTTTGAACACTAAGGAGACAGGGGAGTGAGAACTGTGTAACTCCAGTATCTGTCTATATTTCTGAGATGAGGCATTATGTAGACTATTTACATTATTCGGACTATTGTTCTCATCTTTGTTGCCATATT